TATGTTTCTCGCTCGTGTTCCTTGCTCATCCTATCTCGCAGTTCCATCTTGAGTTGCAGGATCTCTAACTCGATTCTCAATCTTTCCATGTTCTGTTGTGTTGTCTCGAAATGAGCACGTATAGATGGTGGTGTGAATGAGTTTTCTCCCAGAGGTTCCAAGGTTGGCGTGCTTACACCAGAACATGTTACAGTCTGCGTTGACATGATTTTTTCATGGCCAATCATCCATTGGTATCTTTTATACATTTGATGGTTACATCAGAGCGGGCATGCATGATGTGAATCTATTTAAGCATGGCAAGCGCACGTTCATCTGTCTTAGTTGCAAAATCGAGAAAAATCTGAAACAGAAATGAATAATAACAACAACGAGAATAACAATAACAATGTTCCCGTTCCACCTCCCGTGATTGAGAATCTGGAAAGAAACATGAAGGTGTTTAGACGAATGCAGAATGATGCTTTTCAGAAAATCGAGAAAGAGCATGTGATCTATGTTTTTGCCTTTATCATCATCTATGGTATTCTCAGCGGGGACAAATGCATCACCGCGCTCTTGTTTACATTTTGTATTTTTCAATTTCAAAAGATTTTTATGTAATTTTTATTTGACATGAATAAAATAAAGTAAAGATTTGTTACAAAGTACAAATAAATTTCATTCATCATCTTCAATCTTTGGAGCGAGGTAGTATCTCACGTAGCTGCTACCGGTCTTGTATTCGACAAGAACTGGCATTCGATCGCTAAAATAAACACTAACATGTTCTGACAACACAGTGGCTTTTGTGAACATGCACAGGTATTTGAGCGAGAATGACATATTGATGTCATCACCTGCATTGATCATGATTGGTCCATCAGGATCATTTAAATCTCGTGGTTCTAACTCGATATTGCACGTGCCAAAGTCTCCCACGGAAGTAAATCTGGCCATCTTTTCATTCTTTTTTACGGTAATAACCATAGAGTCACCACCGGTGACCATGAGATCCTGGCAAATCTTTTTAAATTCTGTGGATGGTAACATGATTATTGTAGCATAGTCAAGCTCTGGGATCGAGAGATGGTCCTGCTCGAGATCGAGCAACTTCAAATCGTAATTGCAATTGTATCCATTCGCTGAGCCTTTAAACTCAATATTAATAATATCAAGAGAATCTTGATCGATCTTGAGCAACATGCTCACGTTGTCATT